CAGAAATGCCAAAAGTACTTTAATGTAGGATCCTGTGTTTTTCCAATTCCCTGACCTGCTGTGTGCAGGGGATGGCAACATTGACTTTCACTAGAAAAGTTAAGGTTCAGTTCAGGTTTATTTTCTGCCCTAACCTCATTCCCAATTCCTGCTGTTCAACCAGCATGGAAGAGGAACTGTATCATGAAGGGGGCCAGCACAGACTTCTTTGCCCTTCAAAATAAATTTTACGAATTAAGCTGGAATAACTCTGCTCTGAATACAAATGTAGGAGGAATATAAGGGGAAAAGAGAAGAGCAGAAATGCAGATAAGCTGTTCTCGAAGGACATACTAGTATCTCCAGAGCAGTACTTCTTTGTATCTTTTTATCCAGACATTAGCTGTATCTCATCTCAGGTTTCATAATTTTTTTCCCACTGAGTTTTTACTCTTTATTAAGAGAAAAGAAGATCAGGAATTCTCTTTGGGTTGTCTTTTTTTGTTTTGGTTGTGGTTTTTTGGTTTTTTTTTTGGTTTTGGTTTTTTTTTGCTATATAAAGCTATCTCTTTAAAGACTCCAGCAAGTTATTTCACACTATTTGAAATATGCCAGTGAAAATTATTTTTTTAGATTAAGAAATTGCTGAGACCTACATATTCTTAAGCATTTTGTCAATGTTTTAGTAAGATTTCTTGCTGTAGTTCAATAATATTAACTAAAACCAGATGATACACTTCAATCTACGTATTTTCTAGGTATTTGCACATATAGCAATAAATTCACTCCTTAAGGACTGTGTCTTTCAGCTTTGAAGACTGAATGTAGTTCAAAATATTATTCACTGACAATTTTGCCACACCCAAACCCATAAATATGATACTTGGATTTTGGTCTCAAAAGGAATATTTCTGGATTCAAGACTGTAAACTAAGATTAATTTAACAGCGTTTTTGAGTCTTAGGTGGCAGTGCAGTGTATTAAAAATAAGATATTCCCTAAAGAGCATCTGGGACCAGCTGCTTCAAAGTTAATGAAAAATTTATATTCTCTTCATCTGCACAATTTTTTTACTTCTTTTAGAGAGCATGTTTCAAATACTAAAATAAGAAACCTCTCTACATCAAAAGCTGTGATTCTTCCAAGGCAGGAGAAGTCCGGTGGCACAGATAGAGGTGACCCATATCCTAGAATCACAGATTGGTTTGGGTTGGGTTGGAAGGCAGCTTAAAGAACATCTAATTCTAAACCCCCTGCCATGGGGCATCCAGAACTTCTCTGAGCAACCTCTTTCAGTCTTTTGGTCACCATCCTCACAGTGAAGAACTTCCTAACATTTAATCTAAACCTTCCCTCTTCTATTTTAAAACCATTGTCCCTTGTTTTATCACTATCTGCCCATGTAAAAAGTCACTCTCCCTGGTTTTTATAAGCCCTTTTTATGTACTGGAAGGCTCCCTGAAGTTTTCCCCAATGTCTTCCCTTCTTCAGGCTGAACAACCCCACTCTCTCAAACTGCCTTCAGTGGAGAAGTGCTCCAGCCTTCTGATCATCTTTTTTTCCTCTTCTCTGAACCCACTATAACAGGCCCATCGCTTTCTTATGTTGAGGATTCCAGAGCTGGATGCAGCACTACAGCTGGGATCTCAGCAGAGTAGATTGGGGGATCCACCTCCCTTGACCTGCTGGCCACACTGCTTTTGATGTAGCCCAGGATATGGTTGGGTTTTTGGGCTGAAAGTGCACATCCAGTTTTTCACCCACCAGTAGTCCCAAGTCCTTCTTATGGCTGCTTTCAATGAGTTCTTCTCCCCATCTGTGCTCATCTCTGGAATTGCCTCAACCCATGTGCAGTACTTTGCACTTGGACTTGTTGACTTATGAGGTCCTCAAATCTGTCCAGTTAATTCAAATGTCCAGGTACCTCTGGACAGCATCCCATTCGTCATCTCGTCATCTTAACCCCTCTGCCTTCTATTTGCTACCGTTCAGATGCTCAGAGATTCCTATCTGAAAAGAAAACATTAAATACAGAAATCTAAATAACATTTATGTAGGTCTTCTGAATCTGTATCAAAAAGCTCATTTTGATCTCCATTGAAACACATCTTTTGTGCTAGAAAACTTTCAGTACCCACCACTGTATAGCATAAGCAAAGGGCAAGTTTTCAATGGAGGCTTATTTTGCTAGCTGCTGTGTTTGTATTTCTACAACCTTTTGTGGGTTTTGGTCTTGAACTATATAGACGTTAATTAAAATTTGTAATACATGAACCTGTTTTCCTTTTTTAAGTGTAGAAAATAGAGAAGAGGTTACACAACCCGTAAAAAGTCAGCAAACACCCTGCTTTAGCCAGTGAAAACATCCTGCTATGTTTTTCTATTTCAATTTATATCAGATTATTCAGAGTCAAAAATTGTCTGGCCAAATGTCAAGTGAAGCAGAGCCCTTCTCTAGCTCTAAAATAAACCCCAAACTCCACAACAAAAACCCCTAGGAAAAATAACCCCCCAAAATAGCCCTAAATTTGCACATGCACAGTAGTACAGAGAAATTTCCCTGCTTATTTTAGAATGTGAGTGGAGCATGAAAGCTGTAAATACAGCTATTAACAACTGAGGCTGAGGTTATATATATACTCATGTATATATAAATGTGTATATATATATATTATATGTAGAATCTCAGAATTACAGAATATGCTGAGTTGGAGGGGGCCCATCAGGATTGATTCCAACTCCTGCCCTGTTCAGGACAATACCCAAGAGTCACACCATGTGACTGAGAGTGTTGTCCAAATACTTTTGAACTCTGTCAGGCTTGGTGCCATGACCACATCCCTGGGGAGCCTATTGCAGTGCCATGACCACCGGGTGAAGAACCTTTTTCTAATATCCGACCTAAAACTCCCCTGACACAGCTTCAGGCCATTCCCTTGGGCATATATACATAAATGTGTATACACAAAGTGATAGAAACTAAATCAAAGTTTATATAAACCTAAAAGGCACTTTGAAAGAGCAAACCCCTTTTTTTTGGTATTTTTTATTTCATAGCTGTAATCTTGATGGAATCTGTCTACAACAGGATGCCATCACATGCTGTTTTCCACTCTATGAACTGATTTTCTGTCTTCCCAGAGAAATATTTTCAGCTCTATTAAGAAAATTTACTTCAAGACAAAATGTAATGTCAATCCACAAGTATTTAACATAAGTGTTAATGGATATCTCCCTCTGTACTGATAAATTCTGAGTAAATTCACTGCCCAAAGACAGAAAAGACAGGGTTATTCTATCAAATATTCATACTACAAAGTGAAGCAAACACAAGTAATTCACAGGAGGTTATGTCTGCCTCACCATTAGAGAAATACCTGAGTAGAATATGGCTCAATTTACTTGCTCAGGCAAAAAATTTCAAACTCTCTTGAAGTAGGAAAACAGCATCTTCTGGAAACACAGCTACAGGATTTATGAGGGCAGACAACAGCAACACAGAGCTCACTTGCTCTGACTTCCCTGGCAAGGCACTTTAAAGGAACCTGAAGCATTTTAGGGATGTTCAGGTCAGCTTTTCATTTCTGCTAACTTCAGTAAAGACTCTGTTCCAATTGATATCCACTAAAGTTCTGTAGAATCTTTCAAGTTGTAAAACATTGTAAAAAACAGAATGCAGATGGCCAACTAGTAGTTAAAAAAAATCTCACAAAGCCTATAAATAAATTTAAATGCATTAAATTGCAAATGTTGCACATAATTTTTGCTTAACCTAGTATTTTTAACATAATACAATGTATTATGTCCTTAACAAGATCTTTAATATACAAGATTGGAGGTATAGAAATAAATCTACCTTCCACTCTATTTTACAGCAAGGGCATTTATTTCCAATAGAACAATAAAACTTGCAAGATTGGAATGATACTATATATGTCTATAACAAGTACAAGAGAACAATTCACCTGCAAGCATAATGATTTGGAGGGACAAACTCTAGAGGTCAGTGTAATTCATTCCTTTTCTACATTCACCATTTGACTGTCCTGCTCAATAAACAGTTCCAGTAAGGATGTTAATAAGAACTGTATCACTTACTACCACTGTCCTCCAGCTATGAACAACTCCTTCTATATAGGCCATACACAGCCACTGTGATAACAGAATTCTTCTCACACCTAACCTGAATAGGATTCAATCCAGTGAAAGGGAAGTGAAAGGTGCCAGCCTCACTTATTCAAGCCTTCAGTTCTGTTAAAAATAATTTGAAAAAATAAATTCTGTGCCATTTTTAAACAGTGTTGATTCATACTTTAAAGAAAGATTGCACTTAGGACTGTTGATTATTTTCTTAATTTGCTAATTTCATCACATTTCTGAATATCTATGAACTAAATTTCTTTCACCTCACTAATGAGGTCTGCTAGTGGAGTTTCACAGCAGGGGAAAGATCAATGTGTCATTGGGTAAAGGTCAGAACAAGAAACATTTTTCCTCAGCAAAAGAGAATAAGGAATTCCCTCCTATATGATTTCTTCCTACCAGGTGGCAAACACTTTGAACTACTGTTGAGAGCTGTAAATGCATTAAGACATGTTTGGGCAGCAACTGGCCTCCATACTCACTACCAGCCATAAAAAATACTGGACAGAACCTCCATTATATCAGACTGCAAGAGGTTGCCAAGTAGTTGTGTTTTTCACTTCCAAATTATGTCCTACATGTGGACTTTATCAACATTAAGATATTAAATAAGAATCCTACATGTATATACTTTTACATTTTTTATTAGGGATTTTTGGGGGGACTGCAGAACTTAGAGCATGAGCAGAATGTAGCACAGCAGTTAATAAGGACAAGGACTGTGTCTTGCCAAATTCTCATGGATAAAGACACTTCATAACTGAGTGCCAGAGTACCACAGTCAGTACAAACACTAGACATATCTCACAACAGGGTACCTTCAAAGAAGTAAAGTTATTGATAGCAATTTTTGCATTCATGAACAAGCCCTTCCATACTGTCTTGATCTGGCCATTGTGGTAAGGAATCTGCAATAGTACCTGCAAGAGGATAATCAAAAAAGAAAAATTATGTCAAGAAATTTCACATCTTCACATTCTGCAACACAACAGGTTGTTGCTATCCCAGCTTTTCCACTGGAGAAGATCAGGACTATTCAGACCAGTAAGCACATCTGTTTCAGTATGCAGCTGCTATGTCTTCAATTACAATGTAATGAGATTCCTAAAATGTTTGGTACAGGATGCGTTTCTGATCTTCAGTGTCATTATACAAGTCTGTTATGTTGCTCCCAGTTTAAAAATGTTAAGAACAGCTGAGCTGATGAAAAGCTCGTTGAAAACCTACTGGTGTTGCTGTTGCACGAAAAAGGCGCTGAGCTATGAATATTCTGACTTCTCTAATGTCTATTTTTAAACTTTGTGTTCACACATTTTTTTAACACAATAATATTGATACAAAAATTAATTCTATATCTTCCTCCTTCTTTTAGAACTACAGGGTGTTGAGTAAAGCATCTGAGTTTCTAGTTCTAAAGAAGCTGTCAGGTAAAAGGAATTCTTCAAATTACACTGACAAATAAGATTCACCTGAAAGATGAAGTCACACAATTCAAAGCTTAAGACACAAACTTAAGAAAGGGAGTGTTTGATCTGAAACAACCTGTCAGTATAAATATTCCAATTGTTCTGGAGGTATTCAGTTCAAAATTGACTCCTTTCTAAAATAAACTATGCCAACAAACAAACAAACAATCAAAAAAACCCACCACAGCTTTGTACTGGATGAAACAATTATGGCCTGCAATGATGAGACTCTGTTATTTGGTTATTTCATTTATGGTTTTACAGAGTAAAAGTAGTGTAAAATTCTCAGAATATACTAAGATGATCACGGAAATTATAGTCTAGGAAGATTTGCCTAGAAAACCCCTTAGGTAGCTCAGACATCCTTAGCAGGTTTCCAACTTCATTCCCAAGATAATTTAAAAAATGGAGGCCATGGCTGTGCTATATCAGTACATACATGTAAGGGCAAAGGCCTAAGACATAAGTGTTTGAGTGATTTGTGCAAAATAGCATCAGAAAAAAATTCTTGAAGCATGAAAAACCCCTTTGTAATTTGCTTGTTCAAACAAATCATAAGTAAAGAGTATTTTTTTTAATCTTTGCACTAGGAAAACATTTTGGGATTGAAAATAAGCAAGAAATAGCCTCAAGGTAATTTTTGAAAAAGTAAATGAAAGTCTGCAAAAAAGTAGTTTGATTAGTAACATTTAAAGTTACTGTTAAATCTGGTAAATGCTGATATTGGAAGTGGTCACATCTTTATAAACTGATCTGCTATCAGCAGAAAGTTCGCTGCATAATCTAATTTTTACTAATGTGTTAGAACAAATAAATGTTTTAATACCTCTTCATTTCCTAGCTCACAATGGCATATATTTAATCTGTGGAATTACTTATAGTTACCAATATTTTATAGGGTAATCTGGCCTTGATATTTTTTAAAATTCTGGAATATACTACCTTCTAAAGAAAATTTAAGAAAAACTTCATAAGAAGGTCTTCCAATTCAAAATTCACCCTGCTTTTTGATCTAATCCTTGAAATTTCACGCTTCTCTACGGCAGTCTCATATGTACCTCCATCCTTACATGCAATTTAAGATAAAACATTTTTATCTACTTCTCAAACTGCCCAAAGCATTTCAGTTAAGGAAAAGTAAAGAAGCTAAACCTTGTAAATGTAGCTTGTGTGAATTTCATGTGTCATTCCCCCCACTCTAAGGGCAGCACAACATGTGTGAATTATCCAGGGAAAATGAATGCCCAGACATCTCATAGAGTTTGGACTGCATTTCCTACACATCAGCATATCAATAATCAGTCATCACAGGATAGTGCAATGAAACCCCAGACAAATTAAACCAAGTAAGGAAAAAATATACTCTTAGTTTCTTTTCTGGAACAGTCTCAATTTTGACTTTAAATGGGAAAGAAGAATATGAATAAATGAAGAAAATTAAGAATACCTTTTTGCATACCTAGAAATAGCAGTACACTGTCTAAAATGAGTCAGGAGGTCAAATTTCGGCATGGAATACTGACCATTTTCTAATTTTTATCTCTCTCTCTCTCTCTCTCTCTCTCTCTCTCTCTGTAATATTACTGAGTAATATTATCAGTACTATTAGGAGGTTGTTTATTTTTGTGCTGCTTTGTTGTGTTCTTTTTCAACAGAGGAGATAGAAGTTTAAGGGAGTTGAAGGTTAACAGGAAAGTATGTATCCAGTAAACAGTCAGTAGACTTTGCCTTTTTTAAAGTTATTCAAACTTCATAAGCTGCTTCTACTTAACAGTTAATAAATATAGACCATTAATTCAGACTTCTAAAATCCAGGACCTTAAGAAAAAGATCATCATCTTATTCATCTGCAAAAATCTTATCTTTGTTGCCAGGTAAACAACTTCCATAATTTTTGTTTCTGGAAGAGAATTTCCTCTTGTCTGTTGTTTGGTTTTCTTTTTTCTACCCCATCCTGGAAGTTTATAATTCTGACCCTAGCCATTCACAGTTAGATTTATCTATAAAAAAGATAAATCTTTTACTTCTTCTTCCTGCACATCCCAACAAATAAATGGAACAGAAAACGAGGTTGTTCATCACAGTGAGATAAAATCAGAAAGTTAACTGAAGAAATGAAACTCAGTTTCTTAGTAAACCTATAGTATTTTTACATCATAGGGCCTTAAGTACTATGAAGACGCTAAAGATTCATAAACCTCTTAATTTTTATTTATTTTTTATTTTTATAATATCCAGAGAAGAGATAATGCCAGGGCAGAGCTGATTTGCAGGGAAGAAAAGCAATAAAAAATTGGAATCTATTCAGACTTGCTCTGTCTGAACACAATAGATCATTTTATCATCTCTTTTACAAATTCCCCTTTAATTGTCCTTTGTATTTTATGGCAGCATTTGCAAGGAGACCATGGGCTTTTCTTTGAGTAAAGGAAAACTGAAGAATAACTATATAAAACAGTTTTGGACAGAGGATATTTTTTTCTGTCTGTGGATTAGAGTTGTGAAAAGAACAATTCATGCAGTTATTAATGAGCTTTGGGGTTTGTTCTTTGTCAGCCTTTGGAGAAAAAACGAGGATGTTTTCATTATTTTAGCAGTAATCTCTTCCTGCAGTACTCCAGTCCCACAGAGCATTTAAAAAACTTGTACAGTTAATGGTGAAAGTCTGACAGACAAAAGGAGTTCAGGAAAGAGCCGTTAATGCTGAAAGATTTATTACAAAAAGCAGTGGATCATTCTATTAAGATAAGTATCTTGGTCCCAATTTCAGAACCCAATGTAAACATGAACGTATGAAATTAGAGAGCAGCCAGGCAGTTAAATAGATAAAATTAATGAGATTGTTGAAAATAGATACTATTAAAAAAAAAAAAAAATAGACTCAATTGTGTTAGCAAAGTCAGTCTCAAGATATTTTTTTATATGAAAGTTTAAAGCTTTTGGATTCTTACCCTGTCAGAGATTGGATATAGAATTTCAAGGAAGATAAAACTTCTGTTAGCTTTGCAAAACAAAGGTATTAATACTTATTCATTGTCAAGTTGCAGTGTTTACTTTCCCTTTTCTATTGACCCACTATTTTACTGAAAGTTATACATCTTTAATGAAGCTATTTTCAAGTCATGTCCCTACAGAAGATATTATGCATGACTTACATTTACACCCTGAAGCTACTGGGCCTCTCGTACCTCTCATCCCTTTCTGAACAACCAACTGCCTATTTCCAAGCAGAATGTACCAAATCCAATAAAAATTTGCTGAAGTTTTGCTTCTTTTATGGGTTAACACAAAAGTGTACTATGCACTAGAGATCCTGCACCCTTATACAGTGAGATCTCACATTAGACATGAATTGCTGAAACCTTCAATTTTGTTCCATTAAAAACTGGACTGAACAAACTTTCTGTCCTCTTTCATTCAAATACTTATTTCGTTTTGAGGGGGAGGAAAGACAAAATTAAATTTGTAAATTACTGCCATGAGTTTCAGGGACGGTCATATTGGCGGCCACTGGTGTGCATGCAGACGGGGACTCACTCTCCAGTCACTGCAAGGCCACATCCCCCTTCATGACCCTATAGTGCAGTCTCTCAAGCACAGCACCCTGCACACTTGTATAGGAGGCTCCTGTCCCTGATGGGAACCACAGTGGTGACCCTCATAATCTTTGGATCCACAGCTAAAGAAATCCTAAGCTAAACCACATTCTTTGAACCTACCTGCCTCTGTCTGCTGGCAGCTTTGCCTCACCCATTACCCCCTCCCCACAGCAGCTCTCCGGCACGGCTGGGGCCTTCCTGCAAGACTACCCGGCTGGGATCAGGATGCAGCTGCCCTTACCTGGAGCAAACACCATGGTGCCGCCCGGGCAGCACAGCTCAGCGCCTCGGACAGCTCCCGGCCCCGCTGAGATCGGCACCTCGGACAGCTCCCGGCCCCGCTGGGATCAGCACCTCGGATAGTGCCCGGCCCCGCTGGGATCAGCACCACGGACAGCGCCCGGCCCCGCTGGGATCAGCACCTCGGACAGTGCCCGGCCCAGCCGGGCTCAGCACCACGGACAGCGCCCGGCCCCGCACGGCGGCGGAGGCGGCCGCGGTCCCTCCCTCCACAATGCGGCGGGGCGGGGATGGGGCCGGGGCGCCCGCACGGACACACGCACACACACACAGACTCACATACACACTCTCACTCTCTAGCAGGGAACCATCATTGCCATAACTCCTTACCCTGCAGCGGCAGCAAGGGGAAGAGGGAAAAGGAGAAAGGCAAGAGCGATCTGCCCGGCAGGGAGACTGGCTAATTGCTCCTAATTACCTCTCGACAACAGTCCCGCTGCCTGACATTTTGGGGTGCTCTGCTTTCACTGCAAGCTGACAGTACTTTGACGGTACAGTGACACCGTACTTTGTCACAGCATTTTCGCTTCCAAAAGCTCAAATGCTGAGGAATTTATACTCTGATTTCACAGGCCCGTTAACCCAGCTGTACCCAAGAGCAGCACTTTAAGAGGCAGCATGGATATTTTGGCATATAAGAGATGACATCAAGGCAAAACAGTAAAGAAGATTATGAATAGTAATAAAATAAAGATGATGAGGGTAAACAGCAGAAGACTACATAAAATTACCTAGCATCTTTTATATTTCAGATTTAGTTTACTTTTGTTTGTACAACCATAGTCAGATTTCCTGCGGACCCTGAACTTCTACAGCAGAAGTGAGAAACACGCAGCCAGATGGGACAAGGTTTACAAAAACTAACTCTCCTCTTTAAGCTTAATTTGCAAGAGGGTTTTTGAAAAACATTATCAGTGCAAATTATAGAGAGTACATTTTTTTAAAAATTGCATAAATGTTTGCATGTAAATGTTTGCAATATGCAATATATTTTCCAATCGCATTTTCATAACCCAAGATATTCTTATAAACTTAGTTCATTCTTTTCATAATCAAGCATTTCACAAACACAGAATTCTCCAGTTAATGTCAATTCTCCAGTTGACCTGAAGTCTCAAAATAAGGCCTTATTCTTAAAATGCAGGTACAAAAAAGCACTGACCTCCTAAAATAATATTGCTTACATACTTCAGCAAGAACTCAAGAGTGGCAGCACTGACAAAGTGAAACTAATCATCTGGTGGCAGGCTTTTTTTGGTTGGGTTTGGGGTTTTTTTCCCCTTTTTTTTTTAATGGTGTGTAATATCATTTCTCATTGGGAATGCCTTCCAGATTTATCTTCACTTACCATTTCAAGAATTCAGTTTCTGGATATTCCTTTTATTCCCCTTAGTAATTTCAGCTTCTTTATTACTATTTGTTTCCCTCTCTGTCCTAAATTTCAGGGACTCAATTTCATTTCTCTCATATAGCAACTGAATGAACGAACATAAACATACCCCTGGTTGCTCAGGAATGGTATTCCCTTTAAGAATGTGACTTAAAAAATCTCAATTCTAACCTTTCTTCACCTATCATTATTCTCATTCACCTTAAGTATGGGAACAAACAGAGTGCCCAAGAACTCAATTAGAAGAATTTCTAGTAAAAGTATCCCACACAAAATACAGAAATTAATGCAGTCAGCAATATTCAGCATTCTTAAGAGAAAGGTGAAGGATACCCCATAATCTTTAGAAAATCATGATTGATCCATAATTTGAAAAGACTGCAAGAAAACTTACACTGGTATTTTTATGATATATCCATTATGTGGCCCTTAATGCTTGATTTGTTTGTTCAATGCAGAGTTATCCATCATAAAAACAGGTATTAAAACACTTCTCAAAAAAAAAAATCTATTTGGCATATTTCTATTGCATACATTCTCAAAAGGAATTATATGGACGTTTCTAAGGGAAAGTGTTTTGAATGATGGAGCAGCTTGCTAAAAGATTTTCAAAACAATAAATATGATTCAGTGATATCAAAGTCTCTAAGTAACCTCCAAAATTCTAGGTGGGCATATGCAACTTGGCAACAGAACCTACGCCATTTTGGTGAAAGAATACAGTTCATTAACAATAACGTTAATGAACACATTTCTTTAACTGCTATCTGTATTTAATCTGATAACTCAAATCAGTCACATTTTACCCTAGAGTTTTCACTTTTCTTGCTCAAATTAAAAGCTAACAACAAGTAATGATTTCTGCTAGAGGAAATGTTATCAAAAAAACATTATCAAAAAGTTTTTTGGGCTTCTTTTTGTCATAAAGTTAATTTCTGAATTTCTGACTGAGTCACAAGTTCAAATGCAGCCAAAAAATCACTGGAATAGCTGCACAGGACAAAGGTCTATAGTGAACTGTCACCTCAAAAAGACTGTGCAGTTCATGCAGTACAACTGCTGAAACAAGATTGCACTGCTAATCTTCTTTTCATTCAACTTCAGATAAGTGGAAAACAGCACTAGTTATGCCCACTTATACAAAAGATCCCTTGACAATGAAGCATATTGGCAAAAAGGAGGTTATATCATTAAAACACAGTACATTTAAAGATGTTCCATCAACACATATGAAATAGGAAGCATGAAAATACTTACAAATACATCTGTATTTATTTTTATCAGTAATTATATGGTCCCTGCCTTGTGTATTATTTAAAATCTTAATGTATAAATGAGGGATTACTGAGTTCCATATAATGTCAATGGATGTAAAAATTCTTCGGTATATATTTTCAAATGCCTTTTTGAAAAAGTCTTGGCTTACTTATAAAGTACTTTGTTAAAAACTCTAACACTTTTTTAACGGAGAGCTAACATTTTTAGACAGTTACAAAAATCATACTGACTGATGTCACTTGAAATCATGCATGCTATTCATAATTCCGTGGATATAGATCTGTAGTAAGCCCTTTATTTAATGGAGCTGAGAACAATTATTTGGTCAAGTTCAGGAGCTTAGTAAATATCTATTCAAGAAGGAACCCTTTCCACCCAGTGATGTGCAAGGTTTCAATGTTTTGTTAACAAGAACGTACAGCTAACATTTTACAGGCAATATTTAAAACCCTTTTCTGAAAGAATCATTCAGAAATAATCACCTAAATATAAGTGAACACATTTTAAAATAAAATTAATATAAAGATATAATCGAGATTTCATTTGTTTTACATCAAATGCCAGTATTATATTTTGTAATTTTTTTCCCCCCAACTTTGAGAACTAATTATCTCTGAGCCTTTTCTTTATTTCTTCCCACACTTACACATTATGAATCAATTCTAACTTTTTGGGAGGGAAAAGTAATACGATTAGGAAACTGCTTGAACTATTTGATATATTTTGCTAAATTGGTTAAGATCATAATGGTTTTCAAAAAGTGATTACAGACACTGTAATCTTATGGTTAAGCTTAACATTAAAATCTTTACTAGCCAAGATGCAATATATTACATCTGATACTGCAAGGAAGCTCTTTAGAGGAAATTGTGAATGGGTGTCATCAAAAAATATCTAAACATTGGATGAGTATTTGAAACGTCAAACTGCAATCTGTACAGCAGGGATCATAATAGTCAGGATCCTGGATTTAGAAATCTTATCTTTAATACCTCTCTCTTTTAACAGAAAGGAGAGAATAAACAGGGAAGGTAGAAAAGAAAAATAAAAATATACACAAGTGCCATTCTTCTGAAAAAAATAACTAAAGGAAAAGCCAGTTACCTTTCCATGAATGCTTCAGAAGAATTGCAGTGCACAGCAGCCAAAGAGATAACACCATGAAAGCCAGAAGCAAGGATATGCAACATTTCCCAAGAAAGTAAAAGGTGAATACCATTAAAGATAAGTGTGGCCAATAGTCTTTTAATTCACTGGTCTTAATTAATTTTTCTTACTTAATCTGATAAACTTCATAGTAGTCTAGGGCTGTGATTTACAAATATGAATAAATTTTAGAGTCTAGGAGATATAGCTGTACAGTTTTGTGGTGTTTTTTGGTTTTGTTTGTTGGGGTTCTTTAAAGTATCACAAAGATGCATCTGCCCCAGGACTTCTCACAGCCTGTAAAGATATCCCAAAACACTCAACGTCCATCTAGGTAATATTTTTAGCTGATTATATTGCCACCCTCACAACATTTGAATGCCTTGCACCCACCCATTAATGACTATCTTCCAACAGTCCCATAAAATGTAAATTGGTATCTTTCTGTTTTAGATAGGAGTCAAAATTGGAGAAACTGAACCCAAAACAAAATCCAATCAACAAGAAACAAAGACCTAGATAAATTCAGAAGGTTTAAATAAGAGATTCAATGACTCACCTAAAATATTACTACATACACAAATGTGCAGTGGAGCCAAAGTAATCGCTGTTCCCACCTGACATACCTCTTCTGGTTGTCAGTCCCTTCACCAAGACAGATGAATGAGTCACAGTCCAAAATTTAGTCTTTCCATCATGCAGGAATTCTTTTATACAGCAAGAAATTTTATTCAGTCCACTCAAGTCCTCGGCTAATGACTTTGGATCTAGCAGAGACACTATGAAACACAGGCAGGGGTTTTAAAGGACCTCACACACAACCACAACTGGTCCTGACATGGACCTGGCCATACCATTCTGCACCATACTGAAAATGCGTAGGGTAAGTTGGAAGTCACCTTTGAGTGAAATTCTCATCTTCAAACCTTTTCTGTTCCTATCAGCACAACATTCATTATACTAAAAATGAATATTTTTGTATGTGTCTTTGTCTTTTCTATAAAAACTGTTTAAAGACTCTGATCATGCCACAGCTTATTGGTGTGTGTAACCTGACACACAAGTAATAAAATTAGGCCTTTTTCTCAAGTTTTCAAGGAACTTAAATGCAGAGAAGCATTTATGAACCATGGCAGAATAGCT